CACTCCCTATATATCAAAAAAAGAGGGCTACGAAAAATTGGTTTGCGCCATTGTAAGTTTCACAAAAAAGTAGCTCAGGTTCGCGAAAGCCGCAACATTCTATCTTTCATAACAACTGAGATACCCTGCAAACCCATCGAAATTTGGACACCCTGTACAAAAATGTTAATAGAAAATTTAACTTTTCCTTTGAAAATTTCAGTTCTGATACAGGTGATTCGTTTATAATAATAATAATATTTATTCATACCAAACCAATGGTATACAGTGATCTAGCTCTAGAGCTATACAGGGTCTGTTACAACAAGCTGACTCTATATGTATGTGGTAAACTGCTGGCACTATTTTTCTGAAAATTTGCATATAGCGTTTATCCAAGATGCTCGTTTCAGCTAAAATATTTTCAGTTTTCTCCAACTTAACCTCCTTGAAAATGGACCAAAACTTCGTTATTTTAAGTGGAATGAACCAATTTTTATTGAATTTTAAAGATCCCCGCCAAAGTTTAATATACAGGCTGTTTCATAATATACAGGATGTCCCATTAACTAGAGTGGGCAAGAGAAACAGCTGGAAATTATTTTGAAGTTCATAATTGGACCGCTAGGGGGCGTAACTGCCATAGAGAAGCATAAAATTCCCGCTATCTCAGAAAGTTAGACGATGAGCCATAACTTTGACAACATCATTTAGTAGCTGGGATAATACCGCGTTGCTTTTGTTTCGCGATATTTCTCATATCTATTATAATAAGGGAGGGGGAGGCCAATGCGTTTTCAGATGTTTACATTCAAATATCTTCTGGACCATTCTACCGATTTGAATATTTTTGGTCTTGTTTCAAAGAGCATTTTATACTCTTTTAAAAGATATTTTCAGTAAGACCGTTTGATTTAAAACAAATAAGCTAGAGGGCGTTATATGCTGCGATTACATATGTTTGTGTTTAAAAAAAAAATTAAATGGAACGGTACTGTTTACTTCACAGACCCTCAGTCACCATAGAATTTGCTAAATATTAGTGAAAACCGCATCTCGATATCTCCATCCATTCTCGGAAGAAAATGTTAAAAACTCGAGTGCCATCAGTTAACTCATCAAGAAAAACAAATCACATAACAATGGTAACTGTAAACATGTCATTTACTAACGAAGAAGCGTATGATGATTTAGTTTCAATGATGTTTCGAATATGATACAACTGCATGGCAAAAGTGTGCAATGCAATTACTACAAAGAGAAACATTTTTCTCTAGAAGTGTTGGAAGATTGGTTTGGCGATTATTAATTATTATGATTCGAGCAAATCCAAATTATATCACAAATGCTATGGATGCATGAAGCAGCTTTCAACAAGCTGTAAGGTTTTTGCTCTTGATATCACTGAAGATAAAATGTACTTGTTATATCAAATCAGCCAATCTTTGATGGTTGTAAGACTTGTGTCATATTTGGCACAGTTCGTGGTAATAAGTTTGAGTACTTTCATGATGTGAACGATTTTTAGATCGATACAAAAACCTTTTATGGTAAAAATAAACTAACAGTGACTGTAATACCAGACGAATATGAAAGTGAAGACGATGATTAATGACAAAAAGTGTCATTAATAAGTCAATTGTTAACTTATCAGCTACCAGAACGATAACAAGTTAAGGCTTGCCCAACCTAGTTACAACACATTTTTTTACTAAGAATTTTAATTTTCAGTAACCTTTACTAAGTAAAGTAAGAGATCAATTTTTGCACATTCAACATTAAAGCAATACTAAAGAACCAAAATAATATGTGCTAAAATTTTAAATTTTCTACTGGACCTACAAAACATCTAACATACCAATCTAATCTCGGAGGACTTATCTTTCAAAAGGTTTTCTAGATAAAATAAGGCTTATATACAAATTTCGTATTGACCTGCTAATTAGGGTTATTACAAGATACTCATAAGATCGAAAAAATTGTATTTAGATCTTTTTTATTTCATAGATATATTTGTGTTGCTGTGGATGGAGTTATAATTTTGGACGATATTAATGTTAAGCTTTTGGTCACTGGATCTTCTGCTGATGGCTTGATCTCTACTGTGGAAGCTTTTGATTTACGCCAAATTATTGACCAACCGACTCGGATTACTGATTTCTCTGACATTAACGTTATTATTATATCTAAAGAGTTGCCTCTTCTTATTTGTGATACTGAGGATATTGTGGTTTCAGATCATTTGTTAGTCTATTGTTAATTGTTAATTCATTCAAGTACTAAATCTGAGGCCAAAATTTTAATGAACTGGGAGGTTGTTTATGATTTTGAGGATATTAACGATGATTTCAATAGTTTTATTGATGTATAGCTATCTTTATTTGACTTTCATGCAAATATTGCGACGAAAGTGCTAAAGAATAGGGCCTTGCCCTGGAGTACATGGAATATTAAAGAAATGATTAAATTAAGGAATGATGCTTTTAATAAATATAAGAGACATAAAAATCAGGAAACTTTTCAGTATTACAAATCGCTGCGCAATTACGTTACAGGTGCCATTCGTCGGGAGAAAAAGGCCTTCTTTGAAAAAAACTTAGTTTTTGCTAATTCTAGAGATATGTGGAAAAATCTTAATTAAATAACATTAATGTTTTGAAATTTTCCGGCGTTAGCAGGCAATATTAATAGATTTTTTAGTGACTGTATAAAATACCTTGGTTTCTCCTGACATTGATCTTTTGGAGTATTACAATCATTGTACCATTGTGGTGACAGAATGCGTCCTAACTTACCGACAATGGCATTTCATGAAGATTACTTGTGTTGGTTCTGATGGGATCAGCTTAGATATGATACTTTTGTGTTGTCTCCGTATTTTTAATGTACTTGGCTATCTGTACAATTTTTGTCTTACTCAATCAGTTTTTCCACACTCTTAGAAGTACAGCAAAGTAGTTCCAGTTAATACATATAAGGATCTGAGGCCTATGATAACGCTGCCAGTGTTATCAAAGTTATTGGAGAGGCTTATGGTTGAGCAGCTTCAGTCTTATTTAGAGGCGCATGGTATACTACCACCTAAACAGTCTAGTTTTAGAAAACAGTTTAGTTGTGCTATTGTAGGGTCAGTTAACCAGTAATTGACCACCGCCCAGTAATTGACCAATTTGCCAATTAAATGATGAAAACAAGATCCCTTTATCCCTTAGTCAAAAAATTTTGTTACATGCATAGTATTTTATCCTTTGACTTCTACATGGCACAGTCGTACCAATGAAGTGTGTTTAAAAGGTTGTCTAATTACACCTAATAGTAGACTATGTTAACTCATGGCCGAATCATAAAAATTGTTTTCATTATTATCCTTTAATCATTCCTTTTTGTAAAACTGTTTTTGTATGTATATGGTACAGTGTATTAATTTGTGATTTTATTTCTTATTATTAACAACCGGTTAACTAATGGAAAAAATATGGTCCAGCACTGGTTGCTTAGTGGTCAACCACTGGAAAATCATGAATTTTTGCACATTTAATTTTTTTTTTCTTGAAAAAACCTTTTCTTTTTTCTTGTTAACTGTTAATAAAACTGAAAATATAGTTGAACTTAATGTTATTTTTTATATTATTTAAAACTAAAAACTAAGTCAAATATAATAATTTATTTACGAAAATTTCCTTAATTGGTCAATTGCTGGATAACTGACCCTAAGTCAACTTTGTTGATATAATATTGGATTTCACCAAGGCCTTTAATATACTTAAGT